GGTCTCACCTTCTCAGAATGACAAGGTTCGTATGGATTTGGGCCTCCTCACAGGCTCCAATCCCCCGCCCTGCACAGTGCCCATGGCTGGCAGAAGACTTGGGCATTTAGAATCCAGCACTTGGCTCTGATCCGATGTACCCAGGGCAGAATTGCCTGCTAGAGGACAGTGGCAGACTTCTGGCCGGTCGTGCCATAAGCAAAATGCTACCTCCTTTTGGCTTGTGGGGGATTACAAAGCCCTGGTATTTTGGAGGAATATAGGAAGGGAAGAGGGACTCAGTAAGGCTCCATTAACATTCATCAAGTCCAAGTTCCTGGACTTGAGAGCACCCTGGGAAACTCCGCCCCTCCCCCCCTCTCTTTTTCTAGCTGCTTCCCTGAGGATTACTAAAAAGTGTGGTTCCCTGATCTGCTCCTGGTTTTCCCTGGGGGATAGAGAGGCTCTGTTAGAGAAACAAGATGGGATTGGTGATTGGCATATAAATCCCTTTCACTCTCACTAAAGGGGGTCCTGGATCCAGCCTGCACAGCCTTCCACAGTGCACCTGCCACCTGCCCTGTGCCAGGAACCTGCCTCAGCACCAGAGGCCTCCTCAGTCTCAGATTCACGCAGCTAAGCGGAGCCTTTTCTCACTCCTGTTTTCTGCAGAGTTGGCCAAGGTGTTAGCAGCCTTAATCTTCTAGGAATATTCAAGTCCAGCCCTAACCCTAACCCTAACCTTCCCGCTCCCAGTGATGAGAACAGTGACCCTGTGCTGTGAGCATCAGAACACAGTGCACCTTTTTCCACAATGCACTTTGAACACATTGCACCTCGAGCCTGTAAGAGCGAATGTTGTAATCTGACTCACGGCCAAACACTTCCAGGCTCAGGCAAGGTCATCACAGAGTCCAGATACCAAATGTCCTCCAGCCTCTGTTTCCCACCTCATCTCTCAGGAAACAAGATGCACAAAGCAAGTGTTCTGGTTTGCTGCTTTCCTCACAGCATCCCCATTCCAATTAATCAGGTTCTCCAAGATTGGAAGAACCCTGGCTTCAAGTGGCCAAGCAGTAAACTGGCTTTCTTTTCTTCATCTTCCATGGCCAGCCCAATAAAGGTGTCCGCTCCTTTCTTGCCACCTGACACCTAACAATAAGTATAACCCTGGCCCATTGGTCTTGACCAGGGAAAGGCCAGCTCAGAGGAACTGGAGCCACAGATACAAGGGCCTTTCCCAGTGGGGACTTAAATGGGGGACGCTGGAAAGACCAAAAGGAGAATGGAGGGTAGGGACTGAATTGTTAGAGGCTGCCGGTGAGCAGGGATGCCCTTGGCATCAGCCACCACACATAGGACTCCCCCAGGTCAGGACTGCTATTCAGGGCAGTGATGCAGACAGGCAGGGCCCAGGAAACCAGGAGTGCTTGGTTACCTTTCCATCACCTCCTAGAAGAAAGTGGCATTATCCCTGCTTTGTAAATAGAGATGTTGACACACATCCAAGAGCGCTGTTAGCCATGAAAAAAATCCACTATAACCCAAGAGCCGTGGGCTGATTTTTGGTTCCTCTAAAAATTAGCCTTTCCCAGATGCTAAATTCAGTTCAAGACCTATTGGGTGTTTTCCGTTTCTGACATTCTTAGGCACTGTGGAAAAATTACAACAGGCAGTTCTGCTCTGAGTTGCTTGCTGTTTCTTAGGAGAGGAAGACATGGGCACTTGGGACTGTTTAGGAGATACTAGAACCAGGTGTCCATCAACCGATAAACAGGTTCATAAAATGTGGTACATGCATACAGTGGAATATTACTTGGCCATCAAAAGGAATGCGGTAGTGAGATGTGTGGCCACATGCAAGAACCTTGAAAGCATCATGCTAAATGAAAGAAGGCGCTCTCAAAAAATCATCTTATGCATGATTCCATTGTTATGAAATATCCAGTGCAGGCAAATCTCTAGAGACAAAGCAACAGTGGATGCCTAGACTGAGGGAAGGGTAGGGGATGGCATGTGATGGCATGTGGGGTTTCTTTTGGGGGTGATAAATGTTCTACAGTAAGATTGTGGTGATGGTTGCATAACTCTGTGAATTTATACTAAAAAAAAAAAAAACGCCGCTGAACTTAAATGCTCTAAATGAGTGAATTTTATGGTATGTGAATATATCTCAATAAAGATGTTTTTAAAAGAAACGATACAAGATGGTATGTAGTCAAGCGTGAATTTGTGTGGTTTGCACAGTAACTGTGTTACAGACAGGGTAGCAACACTGGAACCAACAGCAGGCTTCCTGGCTGGCTTTGATGGTGCACTCTGAACAGTGTCAGGCGGGGTGGAGTCGGGGGGGAAGGATGGAGCATCACAACGCTGACAGCCTTGAGCCCAAGTCAGTTTTGTTGTGAGGAGAGAATGCAGTTGGTCTGCAGAACAGCCAGCCTTAAAGTGGAAGGTACAAAGAAGGCTACATGGGGAGGTGGGAACAGATTTCAGAGAGCCTTGAATGCCAAGCAAGGATTTTGATTGTATCCTACACATGGTGCAGGATCCTGATCAGAGGAATAAAGGGATAGAGCGCACCAAGGCTCGGAACATCCGAGTGAGTTGGAGCTCCAGCGGCAGGGAAAAGAAAGCTGGTCCTTGAGGCTTCTTATACACCCCGTAGGCGAGTTGTGTTTGCACATCCTGGTTGGGACGAGTGGGAAATTCGGGATCCAAGCTAGAATCAGCCAGAGCTGGTCTCAGCAGGGCCAGTGTCCCTTTGCTACTTTCTCTTGGGGAAGTGCCCGTGTTCTCCTCTTGCCACCTCTTTGTCCCCAGGACCTGTCAAAATAGGCTGTGATGCCAGGGGCTAAGAATTTGAGTTTACCAAGTTGACTGTTTGACCAACGGCTTGTACAGATCAGGAGCTGCAAAATATTTAATCAGTGAGGTCATTGGAGGGAGTGGAGATTTGATCAATAGGAGTGTCTGCTGTTTTCCTTAAGGGTCAAGTCTGAACTGCTTTTCTTCTCCCTTCTTTTGGCAAAACCACAAACCATTAAAATTGGAAAGAATAACTTTTTTTAAGACCCCAAAGGCTTATTTTTAATCAGTTATGTGGTCTGCTCACCTTTGTGGTGTTCCTCTTGACCTGATTCACAAAAATATAAATGACTGTTAGCCTAGTGGCTTCCAAACCCTTTTGAAGCAGCACCCCCACTTTTGATGACTCATATTTACCCAATATTTAAGACAGCTCTTGGTTGAAGAGGGTCAGGGCCTACTGCCTTGGCCCCTCTGAGGAAAACAGCTGTTAGTCCCTGGTGCCAGCTGACGCCCAAGGCACTCATTTTCTTCATTTGTAAGCCTTGTGGCAGAAACCTGGATAAATGTCAGAGTTGGTTACAGTGAGGGTCGGAGAAGGAGAAAAGAAAGTTTAGAAAGGAAGACGCTGAGGAGACAGTGCCTGTGTTCTTTTTGCATTGTTCACAAGCGTTTATTGGGCAACTCTTGTGTGCCAGGCACCATACTGGGTGCCGGGGATTTAAAGGTAAATACGACCCGTCCCCACCCTCGGAACGCAGTCGAGAAAGGGAACTTTCCTTCAGTGTGACAGGTGCAGTGGGAGGGCACCTGACCCAGACTGGGAGCTGGAAGAGGCTTTGGGGCAGAGTCCCCAGCCAGGCAGAGCAGTGGAGGGTAGCTGAGAGCCAGCAGACACAGGCCCGGAAGGGTACTGGGGCACGGAGACCAGAGGCAGCGTGTGTTTCAGAGGTTCCTGCTTTGGGGACCTGCAAGGTGTCCTGGCTGAGCCCCTGATGGTTAACCAGGGGGTGGGGGGAGGGGGGTGAGAAAGAAAGAAGGCTCCCAGGACCGTGGAGACCTAAGTAAGGGGGTAGATGCGAGCCGAAACAAGGGCACTTTTTGGTGGGGGATGGACAGTTGGCAGAAGACGCCGGGAGGGAGCGCCCGTGAGCATCCTGAATGGAAATAGAAGCTGCATTTCCCCCTGGTTAGTAAAGAGGGGCTGCTCAGAGCAGGGAACCGTCTGGGATGGTGGCCTTCTTTGTCAGTGCCAGTGCCCAGTTGCTGGTCGTGAGAGGGATGGATGGGTGACCAGGTCGCATCAGGTCTGTGAGCCGGGGAGCAACCAGGATCCAGGGAAAGAGAGGTGAGGGGCAGTGAATGCATGTGACAGTGTGTTGGGGGGGGAGGCGGGGGGCTTGTAGGGGCAGCCTGGCAGTGGGATGAGGAGAAAGGAGCTTTGTGTGCAAGGGCTGTTGTGGCCAGAGCAAGTGTGGGCTTGGTGGCAGCTGCAGGCCTCTGCTCCTAATAAAGTCAAAAGCTCCGCATCCTCTGGCCCAACACCTGTTAGCTAGAGGTTCCCCTGAGCTGACCTCTCCCTGGGCCGGCTCTCCCCCATATGCATCTTATACGTCTGACTCACTGAGGGGCCAGACCCCTCCCTGCTGAATCACTTGACCCGGGAGCCCCTGTTGACAAATTACCTTCTCTCTACTTAGGTGGGGGCTGCTAGATTTTTGAGGGAAAGGGTTTTGCTCAGCTGTTACTAGGGAAAGAGTTGAGGCTGGCCTAGCCCAAAGGAAATGGGGTGTTCTCCTGGGAAGTGGCCATTCTTGGCAAAGAACCGAGTGTACAGGGAGGGGCAGTCTGGACACAAAGATGCCCTGAGGGGTGGCTGGCCTCCCCCCCCCCCCCCACCGCCGCCTTGGATGGAGGGAAATGAAACGTCAACTGCTTAATGCTGCTGTGGCTGCTTCCTGGCTTTGCCTCTTCCTTCTTTTGCCCGTGGGCGGAGCGGGATAGAGAAGAAGATGTAGGGTTCCAGGTGGCCAGCTGTCTCCCACTGACCCCTATTCCAGTTCCACCTCCTGGCTCTGTAGCCCCTGGGATGCCGCGGCTCAGTGCAGCTCGGCTCGCTAGCCTAACTCCCTTTGTCTCTCTCCCTCTTCCCTCTCCCCCTCTTCCTGCCCCGTCCCTTGGCTCCTCCCCCCCTCCCCCGTGGGTGGCTGCAGCCCAGCCCTGGGGAGCCCCTGTGGAAGTGGAGTCCTTCCTGGTCCACCCTGGTGACCTGCTGCAGCTTCGCTGTCGGCTGCGGGACGATGTCCAGAGCATCAACTGGCTGCGGGACGGGGTGCAGCTGGTGGAAAGCAACCGTACCCGCATCACAGGGGAGGAGGTGGAGGTGCGGGACTCCGTGCCTGCTGACTCCGGCCTCTACGCTTGCGTGACCAGCAGCCCCTCAGGCAGCGACACCACCTACTTCTCGGTCAACATCTCAGGTTGGTAGCCAAGCCTGCCCTCACCCTCTCCCCAGATCCAGCCCTCCCACCCTCTCTGCTAGTTTCCGGGGGCGGGGATTGCCCCGCTCCCGCTCTGCTTCGGAAACTGCTGCCCACTAACATTGCTCCCCGCCCGCCGCGTGGCTTCGCTCTCAGGGGGGTGACTGGGGGTGGTGCGGGCCTCAGGTCAGAGATCTGGGTTTCCAGGATCAGCCTCAGAAGTGACTGCTCATGCACTTGGGTCAGTAAGACACTGATCTTTTTCCACCATAGCTTGCCCAGATCTCCAGGTGCTGCCTGGGACTCGGCCAGCTTCCATTCTGTCATTCCCTTGCCATTTGGACTTGGTACTTGGCTCGGGGGTTAGAGCCCCGGAATATGTGGTGAGGTGGGTCCCTACTGTGATGGGAAAGGATCCAGGTGCACCACCATATTCCCAGACTTTGTGGAAAACATCTGTCCTCCAGCTTCTGGAGCTGTATTAGGGGCAGCCAGGGAACCCCAGAGCTCTGTGACTTTGGGACTCTGCCACTTTTTAGAACACGACTTTTATACAACTCTAGGGTAAAACAAAGAAGAGCTGAAATTTTCTTTACACCTTGTATGCAAAGCCCAGGGTGAGGGCTGGGCATCTCTTCTCCTCCAGGTATCATTTAGAACCTGCCCCCACTTGAAGGACTTGCCTCCTTTATTTCCCTCCAGACCCCCAAAAGCACTAGGAGGGACTGGAAAAGGATCTGGCATGATCGCTGCTTGGTGACCACATGTGTGTCAAGCCTTTTAAAACGGGCGGATACCTGCGGAGAGGTGTTGGCAACTGCGGACTAGTGTGGTGGGCTCCCTCTCTGCTCTGGTTATGAGGGGCAGCCCTCAAGCCTTCGCACATGCATGGTAGAAAAATCCCAACTAGAAATTGTTCAGCCCGTTCTTCCCCAGATGGCTGTAGAAATAGCTTCTGGCTATAGTGTGCCTAGATCTGTCTGGGTTTCTGAAGAAGGATACACACAGATTCCCTGGCTGCTGGTCCTGAGATGAACGCAAGGTGGAATTAAATTCAAGAGGACCCGCTGCCCCTGATGGAACTGGCCAGTCTCAAGGCTTCGGGACAGAAAGGGGCACTGCGTTGGGATGGGGAAGACGGGGGACAGGCATAGAGCCTGCAGTTCTTAAACTGTTTCCATCCCACAGAGAGACCATCACTAAGGGCAGAATGGGACTGGGGTCCAGTATGGGGACGGGCATCTGCATTCATCTGTAACTGGACTGGCCTTTATGTTCATGGCCGGCTGTTGATATGGATGGAAATCTAGTGAGCCTTTTTCCCACGAAGGGACCTCAGTGCCCCCTTCTGCTTCCCATAGATGCTCTCCCCTCCTCGGAGGACGACGATGATGATGATGACTCCTCTTCAGAGGAGAAAGAGACAGATAACACCAAACCAAACCGTATGCGTGAGACACTGTTTCCTACCTTACTGCCCTTCGGGCCGGGCGTTGGGTTTGAGTGGGAAAGGGGAGGCTCGGATGATTGTTTGGAGAAGGGGAGGAGAGAGCACATGGGGTCCCGATGCTTAGCCATGGGGTCCCTGGGGTGCCCTGATTAGAGCTGGCACTGTTGACAGGTGTTGGGCAGGTAGGCGGGGCACCTCCGGGTCCTGGCCTGGGTCCCTGCTCCTGAGCCTGATTGGCCCCCTGCCTGTCTCTCTTGGCTTTCCCTGGGCAGCCGTGGCTCCGTACTGGACATCCCCAGAAAAGATGGAAAAGAAATTGCACGCAGTGCCAGCTGCCAAGACTGTGAAGTTCAAATGCCCTTCCAGTGGGACTCCCAACCCCACACTGCGCTGGCTGAAAAATGGCAAAGAATTCAAACCTGACCACAGGATTGGAGGCTACAAGGTACGTGTGTGTGTATTAAAGTCGGTATAAGAGGAACGGGAGAAGCTCCTTGGAAAATCCTTATTATATGTCATTAATTGTTTAATGCTTTCTAACTATAAAAGCAGTGCACTTTAGAAAAATTTCAAATACAAGAAACTGCAAATGAAGCTTTAAAATCTTTTCAGTCCTGGAGCGCCTGGGTGGCTCAGTTGGTTAAGCATGTGACTCCGCTCAGGTCATGATCGCGGAGTCATGAGATCGAGCCCTGAGCCCCTCGTCGGGTTCCACACTGGGCGTGGAACCTGCTTGAGACTCTCCCTCTCCCTCTGCCCCCACCCACCTCGCATGCTGCTCTTGCTCTCTCAAAAAAAAAAAAAAAAAAAAAAACTTTTTAGTCTTTTTTCTATGTATATGGTTTTTATATAATCACATTGTATATATACTTTCTTTTTTTTTTTATAAAGATTTTATTTATTTATTTGACAGAGAGACACAGAGAGAGCAGGAACACAAGCAGGGGGAGTGGGAGAGGGAGAAGCAGGCTTCCCGCTGAGCAGGGAGCCCGATGTGGGACTCGATCCCAGGACCCTGGGATCATGACCTGACACCTAAATGGACTGAGCCACCCAGGCGCCCGTATATATACTTTCTTGTCACTTGTTAACATTATGAGTCTTTTGCCACGTGTTTGAGAGATAATTTTTCATGGCTGCATAATATTTCATTATCAAAATGTCTCATGATGTAATGACCTATTTTGTGATATTTGTCATTTTCTGGTTTTTCACTATTCTACATTATACTGTGGTATCTTTGTCAGTGTTCTTAAATGTTCTTCCCCAGGAAAGGTTGCTAGGAGTAAAGTTACTAGACCAAAGTATAAGCATGTCTTTAAGCCCTTAATGCATATTTCCCATTACCTTTTTCTCCCCCAGTAATAGGTAATTTTACTCATTCGTTTATTTTTTGTAACATGAACATTTCTTGAACACATGTCTTTCCAGGAAGTGTACTGGGCAGTAGAGTTCCAAGTACATCAGAAAGATGTGCTATATTATTTATTGTGATATTTGCTTTATTGGGGGATGAGGTAATGAGCTGGGGTATGATTTTATTTTTTAATTTTATTTTATTGTGGTAAGAATTACTTTCCCAAAAGAAAAAATTAATTCATCTTCCCATAGCAGAGTATGAGAATGACAGGCTTACCATACCTGAGCCAACAACTTTGATGACAAAAGTACCTCACTCTTCTCTTGTGCATTGTTCTGCTTGTTAGCAGACTTAAAATTTTCGTATGTTAATAAGCGATTTCCATTTCCTGCTGTGTGAATTGTCTGTTTGCGTCCTTTGCTCATCTGCGACTCTAGCAAGAACTTCTTCCTTCTTAATCCCTTCTTTAGACTCTGATCATCCTTCTATCCCATCGCACCTCCCTGCTCTTCTCCCGTTAATCTTGTACGGGGAAAGCAGAGATCCGGGTGCATGGCCGGCTCAGTTGGTGAACGTGTGACTATTGATCACAGGGTTGTAAGTTCGAGCCCCGTGTTGGGTGTAGAGATTGCTTAAAGAAAAAAAATAAAATCTTTAAACAGAAAAGAAAAGCAGAGATGAGGAAAAACAGGGAAACATATTAAATTAATTTATCCAGCACTTGCCGTATGCAAGGCACTGCCACGAGTGGTACGAGGCACCACAGAGAATTTCCAGTCTGACAGGAGGGCAGGCATCCTCAAACACTATCACGAAAAGCAGCCTGTGATCAGTGCTTCAGCAGGGGCACAGAGGGACAGTGAGAACCGTTCTGACCCAAGGTTGGGCCAGAGGAGATGGTTTTTGGAAGAAGAGGCCGGGGGCAGACTGGGCTGAACTCTTCACGAGGAGCCCTTCCAGCCCAGGATGCAAACAGAGGCGCAGAGTGGGAAGCTCCCGGTGCGTTTGGGAGAATGCAGGAGGCACATAGGTCAGATTGCAGACGGCACTGGCTGTTGTAGGCGGACGTCCAGAGCTCCTCATGCCCGTCTGCCTGATGTGTTCTTTCAGTACACGTGGACCGGAGGTGGGGGGTGGGAGGTGGTCTCCGCCCTGTCCTGGCTCATGTGCCGCTGGGGCTGTGCGCTCTGGGCTGGGACTAGAGGGTAAGTGCCACCGGGTACCCCTGCCTCCACACGGCTTCTTGCCTCCATTCTCCTCCAGACCCACAATGGAGCGCTCTGGCATGTTTCCCCTCAGGTCCGTTATGCCACCTGGAGCATCATAATGGATTCCGTGGTGCCTTCGGATAAGGGCAACTACACCTGCATCGTGGAGAACGAATATGGCAGCATTAACCACACCTACCAGCTCGATGTCGTGGGTAAGAAGGTGCCAGTGACAGGGGTTGAAGGAGCTTCGAGGAAAGAGAGCAGGGCTTTGAGAAAACGGCCATAGGGTCCAGGCCGGCACGGGCGTTTATCAGCTCTGTCACCTGAAGCCAGTTTCTTGCCTGGTTTGTGCATTTAGTTGAGAGGATTGGACGCTGCTGTGACTCCTGAAAGGTGGAAGGTGCTGTGGCTAGTCTCCTGCAAGGGGTGACAGGAGAAGGGGGTTACATAGAGCATCCAGTGGCTGCTGCTGGGTGCCTGACATCCGGCAGTTCTCGCGGACCCCACGAGGTTGGCACTGGGCTTCCCACTTTACTGAAGAGCAGACTGAGGCTCATTAGTGCAAGACTCCAGACCCGTGCCGACTGCAGGGCCTCACAGGAAACACTAGAAAGCACAGCACGCCTCTCAGTGCTGCTACGGCAGCCTCTTCTCAGAGGCTCTGACTTCATTCTCTAGAGGTCTTAAGATAAAGAGTTGCACAGCCAGCATTCTTCTTGGCTTTAAGGATATGGTATAAAAAGAAGCTTCTGGGCCAGCCAGATAGGACCAGAGATTGGCATTGCTAGTGAGCTCCTAGTGCTGCTGGTGCTGGTGCTCATGGACCACGCTTTGAGTAGCAAGTCTAAATAACTCTGCGTGATTTTTGGTAGGGAGGTCTGGGAGTGTGACTGAAGTTCTAGGGGTCTCCATTTAAGGCAAGAGAGACTTCTGGTGCCTGTGAAAATGGATGCATTGCCTCGCGGAGGAAGTTCCTCATCGTTTAGGATCTTCTTCCTTCTCCCAGCTCAGAGTCGAGGGGCTAAGGCTCAGCAGAGCCTGGAAATGCTCCTGCCCAGTGGAAAAGCCAAGGGGGAGCACACTTCTCCTTGGTGGTCTTTGAGATGCTCTCTGTCAGCATCCCAGCCAGGAGCCGGCCATGGCAGGGCCTGACGAGCCTCTCCTCTCTCTTCCTTCACAGAGCGGTCCCCTCACCGGCCCATCCTGCAAGCAGGGTTGCCTGCCAACAAGACCGTGGCCCTGGGCAGCAATGTGGAGTTCATGTGTAAGGTGTACAGTGACCCACAGCCCCATATCCAGTGGCTAAAGCACATCGAGGTGAATGGGAGTAAGATTGGTCCAGACAACCTGCCGTATGTCCAGATCTTGAAGGTAATCTTGGCCCCAGTCTCCGTGGGCTGGGTGCTGGGAAGGAGACCCGTATCTCCCTGGGCCCAAGTTGCTATGGTCAGGCTTAGTGCTGGCGACCCGGATGCATCCCTTACCTTCGGGCACATGCTCTGTTTTAAATAGGGACCTAGCCACATTCCCCAGAGCTAGTGATAGGTCGCAGAATGACAGTGCAGTGGGAACCGAGGGCCTGGGGTGGGGAGGGTGGGGTGGCCACTGCTGGTTTCTAAAGAGCCTTGAGAGTGACTTTGCTCAGGCTTTTGGGTCAGCTACTCAGGGAAGGCATTTGGACTCCTGATTTTCCATTGCCCGGGACCAAAGCCTTTCCAGCAAGTGTTTGCCAGATTCTGCCCTATTTCCCAAGTCCCGTCCTTTCTGGCAAGTGAGTGAAAGATAAGGGCACAACTCTTAGGTAGAGCTGGAAAAGCAGATGCCACAGGTAAATTCCAGACAGCGTCAGGAGTAATGGCCTTCTCTTCCTTTTTCCTCTCACTCCCAGACTCTCATTGTCCCCGAATGCTCCACTAATCCAGGGAAGGTAATTGCCTAATTCCCCCAGTGGATCCCGCAGCAAGAAGTAACCAGAGGCTGGGAACGTGATTTACCTCCTGGTCCCAGAGTTAGACCTCCTCCTCCCCTGGCTTGGCCGTCCCAGAGTTTTACTGGCCATCCCTTCTCTTCACTACTGGTGCTGAAACCGCTGTGTTGGAAAATGAGGCCATGGCCTTGGCCCTTGGCCACCGTCTCCCTTCACAATGCCTACCCTAGACCCGGAGGAGTGGGCCTGACACAGACAGAATGTGTGACTGGGGGCAGCGATTTTCTTTTTAAGTTTGTTTTTTGGTCAGATGCTTTGGGCCTTCGGAGTCAACTTGTTTTGTCCTCCTAAAAAGGGAAAGATGATAAGTCTCACTAATGTCTCCCTTGCCTTAGCTCCCCGGGCCTGCCCTAACGTTACGTGGGAGCAAAGTATGGCCACGTCTCAGTGTGTGCCCCACTGACTGGCTTGTCGTTGGTTTGTTCTAGCATTCGGGGATTAATAGCTCGGATGCGGAGGTGCTGACCCTGTTCAATGTGACAGAGGCCCAGAGCGGGGAGTATGTGTGTAAGGTTTCCAATTATATTGGTGAAGCTAACCAGTCTGCGTGGCTCACTGTCACCAGACCTGTGGCAAAAGGTAATGGGGAGCTGGATGGGGCCCTGTGCTGGGAGTTTGATTCAGGCCCCATGCTGCTGGGGCAGATGGGGAAGCCAGCACCCAACTCTCCCTGTTATCCTGCTGTATTTCTAGAGCCCAGAGCCATGGAAAAATACCCGGCCTGGGAGGCTGCTTTGGTTCGGTACTACGTCGGTGTCAAACTCTGTGCCTCGTGTGTGCCCCTTGGCTGTGTGTGCGCTTGTGGCCATCAGCCGGCCGCGTGCTGAACGACAGTGCAGACTGAGGTTTGAGTGGTGGAGACGAGAAGGGGCCGGGTGTCCCCTTGCAGACCGGTAGGCCGTGTGCGCACGTGTGCGTGTGCACGTGTGTGTGTGCACGCATGACGCAGCACCCCTCCGTCCCTCCTGTGTGTGCCCTCTGACTTTACCTGAAACCAAACAGCCCCCCGCCGCCGGGCCGCATTTCTCCATGCTGCCCGCCGCCCGCCCGCATGCTTGGACGGGCCAGGGGCTGCCAGCGTCTGGTGAAGGGTCATAACCAGCCAGCGGCATCTCAGGTCTGCGGAGCCCCTCCCTCAGGGTCTCACTGTCTTCCTCTAACAGGTCTCGCTGCCTGGTGGTTTTTGTGTGTTCCTTGTTGCAAAGGAGACGCTGGGGAGCATTTCTTCCTCCGGTTTTTCCCCCCTTCTCTTCCTCCATCCCTTTCTCTGTGTCTCTTAGAGGTCTCATGTCCTGTGCTTGTCCATTTTGCTTCCGTTGTCTCTTCTAGACTGCCGGAGTTAATACCACCGACAAAGAGATGGAAGTGCTCCACTTAAGGAATGTCTCCTTTGAGGATGCGGGGGAGTATACGTGCTTGGCGGGTAACTCTATCGGACTCTCCCATCACTCTGCATGGTTGACCGTTTTGGAAGGTATACACTGTACTTCTCCTCTCGATGTCCTGCCCTCACCACGGGCACGGGGGGAGCATGCATTGTGGGGCTGGGGGAGACACAGAGCCAGGAGAGGTAGAGGAATGGGCTCCAGGGGCCAGCAGGTGGCCCTGGCGATTTCTCTAAGCTTGAGGGTCGAATCATCTCAGCTCCCATGGGAGCTGTCCTCATTTTGCAGGAACACGGAGGCCTCCCACCTATATACCTGCATCTGGCTCTCCCCCTTGGCCAATGCAATGCATGCATGGAATCTGGCGTTAACCTGCAGCCAGGCTCTCCTGCAGGGCAGGCGCCTTCCCTCCTTGGGTTCAGCAGCCTTCCCCGACTTGTCTGATCCTTTTTTGCTGGCTCCAGAGGTCTCAAGAGAGGCCCAGGCCTCCTCTAACCAGATGTAGGCATTCCGTAAAGAGGTGCTTGTTGCTTGTAAGAAACAGTGCCCGCCCGCCCTGCCATTCTCTGATCTCGGAGGAGAGCTTCCACCCAGATGCGGGAACTGGAGCATTAAGTCAGGCCTGACTCCGGGAGGCCACTCCGTGCTGCCCTTGTATCCTCTTTGGCTCCCAAGAGGGGAGGTCTGTGTGTTGGGCTGGGAAGGAAGGAGCCTGCAGCCTGCTCAGGTGGTGGGCTGGTCTTTGCTGCCTTTTGAGTGTCCTGCACGTGGGTCTGGGCACAGTGCTATTCCTGTCGCTGCTGACACTCCCCTCCTCTCCCTTCCTCTCTCTTCCTCTGCCCTGCCTGGCCAGCAGGGTCTGACAGCACCCCTGCTTGAGGCAGAGAAGCGTTCTGTTTTTACCCCGTCGCTGTCTTTGTCCCATGTGTGCTCCCTCTTGGTTGTCTTCGTTTGTCCATCCTGGGGGGAGAGAAAAACAGAAACACTTGCTCCTGTTCTTAGCTCTGCTGCCTCCTTGTCAGGCTCCGGGGGTTCCTTTGGGCTCCGTCCGGGGTCACACATAGTGCCTCCCCGGGGAGGTCCCCGGCACGCCTGCCTCTGTGGCTGGCTGGTATTTGGAAGAATGCCATCCAAGATAGAGGGCTGTTCACCCCGGTGGGGAAGCCTCCCCGCCTCGCGTGTGCAAGGGAAGGGTGGGTTCAGCTGGGTGGGCTTCGGCGGGAGCGGGCTGGATTCTAAACGGAAGGTGGGAGAAGAGAATAAAACAGTGCCCCCTCCCCAATTTCTTTGTTCGGTTTTAGGAGTTAGGGCCCGAGTAGGATTCCTAAGTGCGGCAAAGTGGACGTTCTCCTCTCAAGCGGTCCAGATGTGGTGGGAAATGCAGCTAGTTTTGCCGGGGCTTTAGCTAGGTACAAATATTTACCTGTCTGACCTGACACAGGTGGTATAGGCAGGAGGCGAGGACCTAGGACACAGACTGGTTCCCCCCCCCCCCTCCTTGAACTCATGATGTGTCACTGTATGCCGGGCGCTGTGGCATGTGGAAATGGAGAAGGTGTTCATGGGCTGTCAGGAACAACAAGACTCCTAAGTGGTTCATCTGTCCCATGTGATGGGTGGATACATGCAGGACTGAGGCTCTGCGGAGAAGGGCCGGGTTTCCATGAGTAGATGGAGAAAACCCTTGTGGGTACCTGGTACCCGTCAATCCCAGCAGTCCTGCTGAGCAAGGCGGGCTCCTGAATGAATGAGGATGGGCCTCACGTGGCAAGATAGTTCTCGTCCCTCGCCCTTGGGGGATTCGAGTCAGGATCGGGAAGATTCAGAGATCATATGCTATCTGATCTGCTCAGTGCCAGACCTTAGTCCCAGCTGGGACCAGGCTTGGTTCTTCTCTGCCCTGAAAATTCTCAGAGGAAAGGAGATGGGGGTTGTTTTTCTTATGAAGCTGGGACCCTAGTGGTCTGGGCCCCCAGAGCCTGCTAACACCGTGTTCACACTGACTCAGCCCTGGAAGAGAGGCCAGCAGTGATGACCTCGCCCCTGTACCTGGAGATCATCATCTATTGCACCGGGGCCTTCCTCATCTCCTGCATGGTGGGGTCTGTCATCATCTACAAGATGAAGAGTGGTACCAAGAAGAGCGACTTCCACAGCCAGATGGCCGTGCACAAGCTAGCCAAGAGCATCCCTCTGCGCAGACAGGTAACAGAAAGTAGATAGGGGATTTGCACGCCCCACATCAGCGCCTCTCCCTGTGCCCCCGGGGCCGCCTCCAGGACCTTCAAATGCCCTGCCCTCTCCTCGGTCCCCAGCCTACCACTTTCCGCTTTGCTTTCTAGCTTTTGGGCCAGGGGTAGTAGAATGTCCTAAGTACCATTGGTGGAAAGCCCTGAGGCGTTGAAGGAATCCTCTGTGGCTCAGCCCCCAGCCCCCTCCCCCACCCCATCCTCGCTAGAAGGGTGACCCCACGCTTCCCTGTAGGTGTCGGCGGATTCCAGTGCATCCATGAACTCTGGCGTTCTGCTTGTTCGGCCCTCACGTCTCTCCTCTAGTGGAACCCCCATGCTGGCTGGGGTCTCTGAATACGAGCTTCCTGAAGACCCTCGCTGGGAGCTGCCTCGAGACAGGTAATACTTTAACTCTCAACTTCTGAGGAAGTCCCCTGCTGAAAGTGAAGGGGTACCAGATGCATCCAGAAAGAACAGTTTGACACTTTCTGCTCTCAGCTGGGTGGAATTTGGAGAGGTGGAGACGGGATGGCCCTTCAAGGCTGAAATTTTACCAGCCCCATCTCACACCACCCTCTCTTTTCCCAAAAGGCTGGTTTTAGGCAAACCCCTGGGAGAGGGCTGCTTTGGGCAGGTAGTGTTGGCGGAGGCCATTGGGCTGGACAAGGACAAACCCAACCGTGTGACCAAAGTGGCTGTGAAGATGTTGAAGGGTAAGTGATGCTTCTGGCCTTGCCAAAACAAGCCTGCTGTTGACCAAGCAAACTGTGGGCCTTGGGCCAGCAGTCTCTCCAGTGCCCTGTCATGGCCCACACCTGCCGCACGGCCTGTGTAGCATCTCCTGGGCGTGGAGGAGCATCATTCTGAACCCGGAGATGGCCATGCTCTCCCTTAGTTCCTTGGCATCAATCTGGGCCGTGGGCAGATGTATTCTAGATCCCATAGCTAGCTGGGTTTTCCCATCCTGTCCTCCACCCCACACACTAGCACACATTGCCAACAGCTCTCATAAAGGGGAAGAAAAACCGATTTGGGTGTGAGATGGGGAGGAGAGAGAAGCAAGTCCCCAAAAACAGGGCCTCCTCAAGCATCCACCCCGTCTCCCCTCCCTTCGCTTTCCTCCTCTCATCCTCCCTTCCAAGTAAATGAGTCTCGTGCCCTCCCGGTTTGTGTGTAAAGCGGACGCGACAGAGAAAGACCTGTCAGACCTGATCTCAGAAATGGAGATGATGAAGATGATCGGGAAGCACAAGAACATCATCAACCTGCTGGGGGCCTGCACACAGGACGGTAGGCGCTAAGCTAGTCCAGCTGTCCCGCGCCGGCCAGGCCAGCGTAGGGCCTCAGCCGAGAACCTGGGCCTCCCACTTGGATAACAGTGTCTGTCGGGGAGAAGATAGTAACAGTGACCAGGCATCTCGGCGACGCTTAGGGAATGGGGTGAAGAGGAGAGGCCAGTTTAGCAGTAGCTGGAGTTACTTCTCGGGGTCTGGCGTTCATCTGAGAAGACAGGTATCTAGATTCATACACATAGTGTGGGGGTGGAACCAGGTGAGTCACTGTGGCCTAAATTAGGGCTCCCCACCCCCACCCCCAGGTTTGCTCAGGAACTTCCTGGAGTATACTGGGAAGAAACCTTTCCCTAGCTTTCTTGGGGTAGTGGAGTGAATTTCCCAGGCTCCCTAAAGGTGCAGTTAGGCCTGGGGAACAAACACGTGGTGTGTGGTTGGGGGTGGGGCTTCCTGGGGGTGAAGCTAAGCACCTGCCTGCCCACCGATGGCCCGTCTGTCCCCGTACTCCCAGGTCCTTTGTACGTCATCGTGGAGTATGCCTCCAAAGGCAACCTACGGGAGTACCTACAGGCCCGGAGGCCTCCTGGGCTGGAGTACTGTTACAACCCCAGTCACAACCCAGAGGAGCAGCTCTCCTCCAAGGACCTGGTATCCTGCGCCTATCAGGTGGCCCGGGGCATGGAGTATCTCGCCTCCAAGAAGGTATGGCTTCTGAGGGTTCCCCTGGGTGAAGTCAGGGTGGGAACAGAGCCTCCCTTGTCCTCCGGTTTATGACTTTGCATCGTCTGGGGGCATTGGAGACATCTGGAGTACCACCTGCCTGTGCTGTCTCAGGCACTCAGGGGCGTCAGAGTGCAGAAAGTCAGCTCAGACTGGGGACGGTTCAGGTCTGTGCATTGCCACTCTCCGGGTAGCCCCAGGCAGCTACTTCTAGATCTCCAAATACGAAGAAAGAATGATAAGCCCTATGTTGTGGCTTGGTTCTGGGGCACGATGAAGTCCTGTGTGACGGTGTGAAGTTCAGTCTTGGTGCTCAGATAAACGGAGGCTTCGCTTGAGCCCCAGCCCAGTGCGGATGTGCTGCAGCTGGGGGCCAGCGCTTGAGAGCACCCACCTCCCCCGACTGGACAGAAGCATCCAGGTTCAGACTTCCTGGGTGCAGATCCAGAGCTATGAGTTAGGAGGAGTGCAAGGGAGCTACACACAGAGGGTTTGCTACGGTGATTCAAGGGCCTGGAGCTGGAGGTGCTCGAATGGCTGGCTTTGAAGTGGCAGAGAGGGACCTTGTAGCAGCGGTCTGGAAAGGTCGAGGGGTAGTGGTGTGGCAGGAGGAGGCGCGAGTGCTGGAGCGGCGGGCCGCCCCTCACCTGCGTCCTACCTCCTCTGCCTGCAGTGCATACACCGAGACCTGGCCGCCAGGAACGTGCTGGTGACCGAGGACAACGTGATGAAGATCGCAGACTTTGGCCTCGCGAGGGACATTCACCACATCGACTACTATAAAAAGACAACCAACGTAAGTGCTGAGGACAGAACCGGCCGCAGGTCCTCTGCTCAGGACTCCGTTGGGCTTTCTCCTACTTCCATCTCCGGGCTGGGACGCAGCACCCGTGGCCTTGCTTGAGAGACGGTGCGGTGGGACGAGCCAAGCATGCGTCGTCCTCCCCATGTCCAGTCGTATGTGTGCCCCCCGCTTGTCCCCCCATCGCCCGGGCCTGGGCTACCCCCAATCTCCCTAATGCCGCTTACAGGGCCGGCTGCCTGTGAAGTGGATGGCCCCCGAAGCCTTGTTTGACCGGATCTACACCCACCAGAGTGACGTGTGAGTTTGAAAGAGGCAATTGCCAGGGATACGTGGGATAGAAAATTCCAGCACAGTAGAGTCCTGCGTGCCCCTTGAGATTGACAGGGGTCTCCTTCCCTCTCAGAGAGAACAAAACAAAACATTGGATGTGTCCCCCTCCTTTGTTCACTCGGTAGAGGTTGAAAGGCCAGTGTGAGCTCCAGCACTAGCCCCCGTTTTCCCCGTAAGCGTCTGTGCTGGGGGAGGGTGGGGTCAGGATGACGCTCTGGGGGTGCTCAGGATGACATGCTGGGGAGGGGGTGGAAAGGACTCTAGGCTGGCCTGGCTCTGTGCCCATAAGACCCGGTGGCTCTGTGCTCCTCCACAGCTGGTCTTTTGGGGTGCTCCTGTGGGAAATCTTCACTCTGGGAGGCTCCCCATATCCTGGCGTGCCTGTGGAGGAGCTTTTCAAGCTGCTGAAGGAGGGTCATCGGATGGACAAGCCCAGTAACTGCACCAATGAGCTGTAAGCATGGGAAGACACCTGAGGTCCTGGGCCAGGTCCTGGGGGAAGAATGGACGGAGAAAGGGGTTTAGCTTGATAAAGCAGCCCTGCCTGGTCCTTCCTCCCCTGACTCAACAATCCTCTCCCAGATACATGATGATGCGGGATTGCTGGCATGCAGTACCCTCTCAGAGACCTACCTTCAAGCAGCTGGTGGAAGACCTGGACCGCATTGTGGCCTTGACCTCCAACCAGGTGAGGCTGTCCTATCCTAGACCTGCAGTCACCGTCCACGAGGTGCACCTCTGTGAGTGAGCACTGCCGCGGGGCGGAGAGTGCCGGACCTTTTGTCTCTCCTTGCACAGGAGTACCTGGACCTGTCCGTGCCCCTGGACCAGTACTCTCCGAGCTTTCCTGACACCCGAAGCTCCACCTGCTCCTCAGGGGAGGATTCTGTCTTCTCTCATGAGCCGTTGCCCGAGGAGCCCTGTCTGCCCCGACACCCAGCCCAGCTTGCCAATGGCGGACTCAAACGACGCTGACTAGCACCCCCACCCCCCGTGCCCAGACTCCATCATCCGCTGTATCCCTCACCCCCCACCTCTCCCCTGCGAGACTCACTGCCTTCCCCTTTGCCCCTTTCGTGCCGGCAGGAGCCAGCTGCCTTACCCGAGGCCTTCACCCCACGGAGTTCACCTCTCTTCCTCCTCCTCCTCACAACCTGCTTGTGTGAGAGAGGAGCAGAGAGGCAGATACTTGCTCATGGCCACTTCGTCCCCTCCCCTTTGTTGGACCAAGACCCCTCCCCACCACCTCGGAGCAGTGCCTGGAGGGCTGGGGAATGGGAGATGAGCAGGCGTGTGGGCAAGAGCTGACCGAGCTTTCCTGTGTTGGTTTTGTCTGCTTCGGGGACCTGTAAGCCCGTGCTCTGGGGGCGGGGGCCTCGTCCTCAGGGCTGCAGCCATAGCGGGGGTGGGGGGGTGGGGGGGGAGGTCAAGTGCTCCGGGCCTCGGCTGAGGGCAGCCTCTGCCCCAGATAGATGGTGCCAGTGGCTTATTAATTCCGATACTAATTTGCTTTGCTGACCAAATACCTGGTACCAGAGGATGGGGAGGCAAAGGCTGGGAGCAGTGTCGTGGCCCTGGGGCTCAGCCCCAAACTGGGGGCTTTGTACATAGCTATGAAGAAAACACAAAGTGTATAAATCTGAGTATATATTTACATGTCTTTTTAAAAGGGTCGTTACCAGAGATTTACCCACTGGGTAAGATGCTCCTGGTGGCTGGGAAGCATCAGTTGCTATATATTAAAAACAAAGAAAAAAGAAAAAAAAAAGGAAAATGTTTTTAAAAAGGTCATATATTTTTTGCTACTTTTGCTGTTTTATTTTTTTAAATTATGTTCTAAACCTATTTTCAGTTTAGGTCCCTCAATAAAAATTGCTGCTGCTTCATTTTTATATGGGCTGTGTGACAGGCGACAAGGGAGAGAATGTCAGCTGGAAAGGAGTGAGCCTCGTGGGCCCTGGGGCTATGTCTGTCCCCAAGGGCGCCCCAGCTCCCTGCACTTCCCTCGCAACTGCTCCCCCTCAGGTCCTGCCCCGGGACCTCCTCCGGGACAAACCTCCTACCTCTCCGATGCTTTTTGGAAAGGCAGGAAGAGACGACTGTGTGCGGTGGGCAGGAACCTCAGTGCACCCGAGGCTCTGGGCCGCGAGCCAAGGCTCCGCAGCCCTCAACCACAGATTGTTTCCTCAGAGGAAACTGGTGGGGTTGGGTGGGGTGGGAGGGTCAGAAGGGGGGCTGGGGGCCTACCTGGGAATAGCCAAGGGGTAGAGCTCGAGGGATTTAAGAGGAAAGCTACGGATTACGGGACCCAGGGCCTGCAGAAACTCAAACCAGATACGCATCTCCCCCTTCATGTGGGTGCGGTTTTGTCCGTACTTCTATGTGAGGGAAAACTTGTCACGTAAGATCAGTTTGACATCCGGGCCCCTTGCTTCATGTCTCCCAGCTTACTCTGGTCATGCTTCTCCCACCCCCCCACCCCACCATCCTTCCTGTGTCTGTGACCAGACTTCGTGTGTTAGAACTATCGCAGATCTTGGCTTCCTATAGTTCTTCCAGGACAAACTCCACCCCATCCCCCAGGAAAGGGGAAAAATTCTCTGAATGTTTGGTGTTTGGCTGCTTGGAAATTTTCTTTCTCTGCCACCTGCTGGTGATCACTGCACTCAACACGTGGATTCCCTCCTCAGAACCTCAGCCCTGAAATTGCGAGTACTCTGTCCCCGCCCCTAAAGCTTACTCTTTGCGGGATTACTGCGAAATACAGAAGAAAGTCGGATTCGCTTTCATTTCTGCAGGGCAAACGGGATTGCTGCTTTAAGTTTCCTTTCTGAGCTAGCTATTTGGGGGGCAGCTGCAGTCTTGGCCGCTGTTGTAAAGTTCTCTCTTATCCTTGTGTCTCTCTGTAAATATGCGTCTGTCAACATATTACAGTTTGTGTTTGTGTTTGTGTTTAAAGAAGGCGTAACTTGGTGAACAGAGCCAGGAAATGCATTTCTGCTCTTAAAATCATTTGCTTTGAGACCTTAGAGTGGTGTCTTTCCTTGTAAAATACTGATGCCCACTTCCGCCTCAGCTCTCCCTTGAAGCAATGTTGTGTGAGTGGATGGAGGATCTATAAAGGGCTTTTAACATGCCTTCGGGAAAGGTGCTGGAGAACTACAAGGCACTGTTACTATAACCGTGATGTCCTTGCTGTTACTACTCCGATCGCCCACAAATTTCCCCAGAGACTGAGCTGGCTGTCAAATAAAAGATAGTAAAATTGACCTGAGGGAAAATGAAATGGCCATTTTACTTAGATAACCAGATTGGGTCTCCTGAGGAAAAGAATCCAGTTTATCTAATGAAGACGTGGTGCTGTCAAGGCACTGAATCTGTCTGGTTTCGGAGGGTTAAAAGATTAGGGCCTGGGATCATCACACCATTAATCAATACTGCCTTTCCACCTTTTTCTAATTGCCATAGACTGGGGATCATCAGTCCCTTGGCACCACTAATGTACTGTATTGATCCTCAAGTAAGAAAGATTGAACCTCAGATGAAGCAAGAAATCTGTCTCCGTGACAGTGAAGCTGCTGTGCCTGTCAGCCGCCACTGGGGGGCGCCAGCAGGCCAAGGTCTCTGTCAACGTCGGCGGGGGCGGGGATGATGCGCCAATCTGCTTTGGAGCTCCATTAGTCTGACCTTACCTACTGTGAACTAACTGGCGGTGACTGGGAAATCTTTAGCCTGGGCTTTAGCGTTACAGCGTATTTATTTGATGTCACCAACGTGACTGGTATTGTAATGACTGAAGTACAGACTTAGACGTGGCACAGGTGTGGGGTCCATAAATGCCAAGCTCCACCAACACCTCCGTGTTGTAGCAAAACTTATGTGTGAGATGCAGGCCAAATCTGACATCACCACTGAGGCCTGCCTGATTTTAGAAGCTGCCTAAAACCACACCCAGTGAGGAGGTGAGTAGTTGGCACGGCGAAGGCCTAGGCATCTGCAAGGAAGGAGAAAGCTCTGTAGCAAGCTGGCGTAGCCCCCCACGCCACTCCTCAGCTGGGGAGAGCCAGGGAGACAGAAGGTCAGCAAGAACCCACCTGTTCAGGAAGATTCAGTCTGGGGCAAGTTCTCTCCAGGTTGGCACCTAAGAGCACTCAGGGCCACATATATGACACCGCCTCCCAGATGTTTGTGTTGGAGCATAAAAGTGACATTTAATGAACATGCTGCCAACAATGGCCTCGTCTCTTGTTACTCACGGAGGGCTGGGGTCGGTGGTGTGCTGGAGCTGATGGTGCACACCTCTTCCTGACTCTTCAGTGACCTGCTGTTGGCAGCTTGAAGTCAAATGCTACCAATCAGGACATTTCCTGTCCCCCAGCCAGAGCTGGTAATTGCTTACCAGAACACCACTAGCTCGGTTTCAGCACGGGCAGTTGTAACAAGCCTATAGAGCCCAACAGCCAAGAGCTCTAGGTGATGAGACCAAAGAAACATCCTAGACTTCTCTGAGCTACTATCCTAAGAATGGGAAGAGGGGTATGTCCAGTGTCTTAGATGCCTAGATGTAGAAAAAAGTGGGTGAGGGCCAGCTGGGGCCAGAACTGACCAGGGGCCCCTTGCCCCAACCATTCCCCCTCTGCCTTGTAGGGAAAACCAGAAAGAACTGTAGAACAGCCCAGTAGTACCTATGAATCATTCAGCAAAAACAGGATTGAACAAGTTAAGTAGCTAAGCCCTTGCCCACATTCAACACTTGAAATGTGAGCTAATTAAAATAAATACCCATCGTTTTAAAAATGGGAGGATTTATTGTGAATCACCTTGCCAGGCCAATGGCGAGATCCACTGAATGCTGCATAGTAGGGATTCATCATTCTTGAGGAACTGGAGTTCGTTAGCAGGCCAGGGTCGGGCTTTTCCTCAAGGTGGAGGGGAGGCTTAAAAAACATTGTAAAGTACAGATCCTTGCTGGGAAGCGCCAACGACAGTCCTCCCTTGGGTGACCCCAGAGAGGGAGACTGGGGTTGCGCTTGGCTTAGATGACTCCGCTCTAACTGCTTTCAATTTCACAGCGAGCAGAGAAGACCCAATTTCATCACCCACAAGCCAAAATATCTTCTCTCTAAGCACTGCCCAAGGGAAGAGGGCTTGTTGGTCAGCTGCATGGCAATGTATTATGTTAAGTTTTCTCAGGACTGACCATCCTGAAAACACCGAACATAAGGATCTGAACATAATACTCGTTACTTGGTCACAAAAGGGATTATATCAGACTTTAACCACCCCGATGACTAACAAATGGTGTTTGTGAAAGACAGACAGATCAGGAAAACATACACCCAGCACAGACAAATGGTTAAGTCTTAAACCCTTAATTATGTTTCCTGGCAAAATGGTGGCTAATGAAAGCCCCGCGTGCTGGAGTAGTGGCAGCCTCCCAGATCCTGCAGCCTCTGCAGGCCCCGGGGGGCGGGGGGCTCCCAACAGCCAAGCACCAGCCAGGCCTTGCTGATCACCAGTCTGCCAAGCTCCCCGTTTTCTTCTCCACAAAGCTTTTTCTTCAGATCCAGAAAGGCATTACTGGGGCGTACCTCCATTCTATCCCGTTAAGGTGCTTTGCTTCCAGGGCACTATTCCTACTGATGGATCCCTGAAAAAGTTAGGTGGTCTCACAACGGTTTTGGAGTTTCCCAGTCCTTACGGGGGAATCTAAGGTGCCAGGCTGATTCCATTATGAAAAGAAAAAAAAAATTCCTCCCTTAAAGGACATACACAGGAATATGAAGCTGTTCAAAAATAACATGGGGAGGGGGCTTTACACACAGTTTGGTGGGATGACATCATGGTACAGAGGAAGTTGGCTTTGCAATTATATTTCTAAATGGTCTGAACTTGGTCTCACTGCTGACATCATCTGGAACGGTCACAAGGCCTCAAAGGCCTGCCCCAAGGACAACATGGCTGATCTCTGCTTAAACCAGACACAGAGCATCTTAGCTGGGCAGTCCTGTATGGATGCCACCACTGCGGGCAGGAAGCTGACGACAGTGAGCTTCATCCTCCGCTGGTCCTTATGCTCCTTTTGAACTCGCCTTGCTGTTCTGCGTTGTCTTTTGTGATTTGGCCTGGAGCGTCTAGGTACAAGACGTAAGGACTTTAGGCACTGCCCACAGTGAGATGTGGAAGCTCCTCAGGAGTCCCTTTTCTATTTTCTTAATCAAATAATGACAGACCACAAAGTCAAATCCAAGTATGCAACTCACCTCGATAATAAAAATTAAGACGACCTGCCAGCAAGGACCCTAGGTGTCCACCCCTGGGCGTCTGCGTGTTGGCCGGCTCTTTTCCTCGGCCCTCAGGGGCCAGTAGAGCCGGTCGAACTCTCCCATGAGCCCCCCGCCCCAAATTCTTTCATCCAAACGGGAAAAGCGGATAGATAAGTAATTTCTTATTTACATACATTTCTCCTAAGATTTAAATTGCTTTCCTGCTAGTATTTCCTGACATTTGAAGCCTGTGTGAAATACACAACATATGGGGACTATTTCCATCTGGCACAAAAGAAAATAAGAATCTGCCTATATTGTAATTAGCTTCTAGACTTCACATGTTTAGGCCTCATCCACGACTGCATTGGTTGATAAGTTGGGGGTTTTTTGGGGGGGGTGGTTTTTGCTTTTGGATAATTGAGTTTTAAAAAATGTAGTGGTTATAAAACGACAAAAGTTCAGCCTACAACTTCCTGTTTGGATGACAGGAAGAAGCGTGCGGTGTTTTGCAATAGTAACAACTCTAGATTCTCACTGCCCTTAAAAATAACTAGAGATGAAATGTGTTCTTTTTTCAGATACTTACAGCTTCTTTAGCAGAAGTGATGGGTCCTTTAGGTAATGGGATAGGCGTTGATGGTGTTATGGGAGATGAGGGAACGGGTGGCAGCTGTATAAATTCTTCATCCTTGAACAGCAAAACTGAGAGTTGGGTTACTGATTTAAAACAAAATGGGTATTAGATCTATAGTCACACTGCCGTGACCACCAGGAGCGTGAAACAACCACATCTTCCGGCACAGGGTTCAAGAGGCTAAATCTGGAACCTAATTACATAGAGCCAAATGTTGACCTTTTTAAGAAACAGATCTGATAGTACAATAAATAGTCCTGATTAAATAACACCATTGTATTGAAATTCAGTTTCACTAAGAGAGTTAAAAATGGATAAATTAACTTATTTTCATTTTTAAACCTAATTAATCAAATGAAAAGTAAAAATCTAACCTTAGTTCCCTTCAGTGAAGGTGCTAAATCCACCAGCGTCTCTTTAGATTCAGGAGAAGTACGTGATTCCACAGGAATATCTGGTTTTGGAGACTAGGAAGAGAAGTATTTTATAAGAACATCGGCTTTCTGCTATTCCTGAAACTCAAAAGCATTTTTACAGTAGTTAATGCTTTCTAGCACAACTTGCTTTCCACTCACTAAATCCCTAACTTCTTCCAACTCTGCCCTTTAGGAGAACGTATGAAATATGTCCCCGAAGGAACAACTTAGTATTATTTATCTTGGAGTTTTGAGCTCCCTACATACAAAAGTTGCACTCTAATGAGATTCTAGTATTAAAACTCCTCGGTCTGGGCGCTTGGCTAGCTCAGTGGGTGGAGCATGCAACTCTTGGTCTCAGGGTTGTGAGTTCGAGTCCAATGTTGGGTGTAGAGATTACTTAAAAAATAAATTAAAAAAAAAAAAGTCCTCAGCCATTAATAAGCTCCTGATTTGCCAATTCTAGTCCTGTTTTCAGTCTGACAAAAGAAGGTTGCCTTTTCTCAATTACTCATCAGCTTCTAATAGCATTGATATAACCTACTCAAAATTAACATCTTTATCATTTTCGGTATCTAATAATAAATGTTTGTCTGATTTATTAAAATGGGTAGGTGCTGCTTAATAGAAGCTCCTGCAACATGAGGAAAATGGAAGATATGGTATTTTGAGAATAGCTAGCTAACCTATCTTCAAGAATTATAATTAGATTTGAAAAGTAAATGTCACTGCTCTTTGGAAATAAGTAATTGCTTTGTGTACTTGGGAGGGAAAAGAGCTATATATATCCAAAATTAAAGTATATTTAACTTGATGTCTCTAAATTCTTTACTGAACCTAGCATGCTACTTATTCTCATTTTGTATATATAGAAAAAGGAAGTTTTAAAACATGGTTTTAAAAAAAAAGCAACCAATAAAATGCCTAGGAGCTTGTCATTTTGTCCTTAATTTCTAGGTCTTTTTTTTTTAAGATTTTTTATTTATTCATTTGAGACAGAGAGATACAGAGAGAGAGAGAGCATGAGCAGGGGGAGAGGCAGAGGGAGAGGGAGAAGCAGACTTCCCCTTAATTTCTAGGTCTTTCTCAAACATTCCAAAAAGCAACATCTGGCTAAAGTGTTTATGCCCCTCTAGAATAATTCCGAGAACACAAATTTAGCTCTGAGATATTGTGCTACTCCAAGATTTCCTTGCTCCTGAGAGCAGTCTAATAATGACAAATTTGGTCTGTCTTAAAGACCAAAGATAGAGTAAGAACCAGGTAGGCTACCTTTTAGAAGATGGTCTGGGTTCCAAAATTCCTCCCACTCTCCCTAGAATCCTTCCCAGACAAAGCCCAAATCTGATTAGTCTCTGGAAATATGGAAAGGCAAAGCACAAGGGTGTTCCCTGGAGTACATTTGTCATGCTGGACTTCATATCATTTCCCTTGGCTTATCCAAGGAATCACTAAAAATGATGGGTCCCCACTTCAGAGAACTTAGTTTCATCTACTAAACCACATGTGCAGCACAATGGTCTCTCCTTTCTCACTCATGCAGATTCTGACTTAGACATGAAGCCACAAAGTAGAGAAGTGAGAGGCCCCTTCTGACCAGAGCAAGATACTCTAGTGATTGGGCTAATCCTGGGTTTTTTGGTAAAATGCCAGGAGGGGAAAAAAAAGGCTGCTGAATTAAAGGCAACAAAAAATGATTAAGGAAAGGAGTGGAAGAAAGACAAAAAGTTTATATTCTAGATTGGCCTTTCACCGCTTCAAAATTAATAGGAATCTGGACAAATGAAATAGACACGAAAGAAGAGGAACCATTCAGTTTCAGAAGAGCAAGAGTCTGCTAATGAAGGCTAAATAGTTAAGGAGAAAGAATAAACTGGATTCCTAAATCGAGCTGGAACAGACAGTAAGAGCCCTATAGCTAGAGTTAGTTTTAGCAATTTTAATTTTTTTTATGGAATTTTTTAAAGATTTTAAAGCGCACTGGACCAAATGCCAAAAGATATTCCAAAAGAAATGTCTACCTTAACTGCAAGAGGAAATAAGACATTTGTGGAGAGGCCCCAGTTAAGGAAATCTAGACCCCGGGCACTCACCTCCCCACTTAGTGGTATCTCAACGGGCTTTGGCTTCACATCTATCAGGTAGAAGGTTCGTGACAGAAGCAACAGAGAAGGAGGGACGTTCTCCTTCAGGTGGAGGTCCTGCCACTGGAGAATGGAAGGAGAATAAAACAGGACAGAACCCCAGCATGTTAGAACTGGACATGACCCACCGTCACCGACTGCTTCCCTGGTTTCACAGCTTCCCCAGGCTCGTGCCGGGAACCGGCAGCCGGACAAGGATGAGAACACTCGTCTCCTGGCTTTGGCACCAGTGGCTGTCGTCTGCATCCCCCCTCACAAAAGTGGGATCCTCTGAGTTGGAGAGGGAGAGTTCCAGTCACCTCTCAAACCGACTGTGGATCAAAGGAGCTAAATATCTTCTCTTAGACACAGAGCAGATAAGGGGAAAGACTAAGACTCACTCATAACCAAAGAAATAAACATTAAAATGAGAATGAGTGTAATTTTCAAGTATCAAACTGGCCAAACTTTTAAAAAAATAAATACATAGATATATACATAGATGATAGATAGATGATAGGTAGATAGATGGATACTACCTGACAAGAGACAAAATTCAAGAAGTAAATAAAATATAATCAGTAACAATAAGCCTGCCTTCTACTCCGATCCTTTAACTACCCTGTTTCCCTCCCTAGAAGCAACCACTGTTACCAGTTCCTTATACAATCTTCAGAGATATCCTGTGCATATACGAACACAGGTTTGTATGTTTTTTATCTTCACATAAAGGGCGATATATACACACTGTTCTGTCCTTTGCTTTTCTTCACTGAAATGTCTTGGACATTGATTCATACCCGTAGCTGTAGAGCTGCCTCCTTTTTAACTGTCTGTAAATGATTCCATTGTTGCACGGAAAGGCCATAATTTGATTATTCTCCTATTTATGAACTTTAGGCTGTTTCCAATCTTTTGCTATTATAAATGGTGCTGCAGTGGATAATCTTTTTTTTTTTTTTTAAAGATTTTATTTATTTGACAGAGAGAGACACAGCGAGAGAGGGAACACAAGCAGGGGGAGTGGGAGAGGGAGAAGCAGGCTTCCCGAGGAGCAGGGAGCCCGATGCGGGGCTTGATCCCGGGACCCCGGGATCATGACCTGAGCCGAAGGCAGACGCTTAACAACTGAGCCACCCAGGCACCCCTGCAATGGATAATCTTATAGATATGTCATATTGCACAAGTGAAATTTCTAGGTCAAAGTGAATGCATTTTTAAATTTTAAATTTTGAAAGATTCCATGGAGGTTTTTATCAGCAATGCATGAGTGCCCCTCTCCCCAACCTTCAACAACACAGTGTGTTATCAAACTGAGCTTTGCCAATGTAACAGGTGAATGTGATATCTCATAGTTTTAATTTATCTTATTATGAAGTTAAGATGTTTCATATGATTATCATCTTAGAGTTTCCTTTCTATGAAATGCCTGCCTGTATCCTAACACAGGACTTTCTGAATAATACATAGTGCCGAATATCATATTGTTGGATTAGTATCCTCACTCCTTGGTGGGAAAAATGATACACTCTTCCAAGAAAGCTATTGGACAGTATGAACCCACTTAATGCTCTATGTTCAAGAAGTAAATGATTTTAAGAACCTTTCTCTACAATGTGTTCATCTTCCAGCAGAGCAGGTCCAACAGCTAAAAGGAAATAGCTACCTGACATGGTTTCAAAGTCACAACAGTGGCTCCTATTCCAAAATAATTTGTGTATACTTTATAGCATTTCTTACAGTTGCAAGAATGAGAATTTTAAAAGGAGTTACTGCTTTGTTTGAAAACACTGATGCTCTGGGGTGCCTGTGACTCCATCGGTCAAGCGTCCGACTCTTGGTTTTGGCTCGGGTCGTGATCTCATGGGTCGTGGGATCAAGGTGGGAGCCCCGCCTTGAGCCCCACATCTAGCTCCGTGCTTAGCGGGGAGTCTGCTTAAGATTCTCTCCCCCTGCCCCTCCCCCAACTCATGTGTGCACATGTTCTCTCTCTAAAATAAATCTTGAAAAAAAAAGATTTGATGCTCTTAGTTAAAATATGTTGTCAGTGGGAAAATATTAAACATCTGTTGCCAAAGCTAACACTTTACATTGGCTTGGGGTACTAATTGGAAAGTAGTCCCAGGTGAGCCCTCAGGGCAAGGCTCAGACCTCCAGATGGATTCATACACGACAGGCCTTGGATTTGAGATTTGTCTGGGGCCCTTAAAATACCTGGACTATGCAAAATTCTAAGGTGGTCCCAAGATTCCTGGTCCCTAGTGTACCCACACCTTCTCCCAGTTATTCAGACACGAGTCCAGGTGCTGCCGTGAGGGATTTTGCAGAAATAATTAGGGTTGCGAGTCAGTAGATCTGAAAGCAGGAAGTTATCTGAGTAGGTCTCACCTAATCACGTGAAGCCTTTAAATCTGGAGCGAGAGGTCAAAAAGGGGAAGTCTGAGATGTGAAGCCTTTGGGGGGCCTCGTGTGTGAGAAGGTCTCTCCTTTGCTGGCTTTGCAGATGGACGGGGCCTAGAGGTGAGGAATGCAGAGGGCCTGCAGGGCTGAGGAGCCTGGGGCTGACAGCCAGTGAGGAAGTGGGACCTCAGTCCTACAGCTGCAAGAAACTAAACTCAGCCAACAAACTGAATCAGCCTGGAAATGGAGACTTCCCCCAGAGCCTCCAGATAAAACACAGCCTGCACTTCTGACAGAACTTGTAAGCTAATAAACCACTAAGTTTGTTGTAGTTGTTTAAGCAGCAATAGATTCGAAGGGGTACATGCACCCTGATGTCTATAGCAGCATTATCAATAATAACCAAATTATGGAAAGAGCCCAGATGTCCATCAGCTGATGAATGGATAAAGATGTGGTGTATACACACACACACACACACACACACACACACTGGAATATTACTCAGCCATCAAAAAGAATGCAGTGACATGGATGGAGCTGGAGTGTATTATACTAAGTGAAATAAGTCAGAGAAAGACAAATACCCTATGATCTCATTCATATGTGGAATTTAACAAAGAAAACAGATGAACATACAGGAAGGGGGAGAAAGGAGAGAGGGAAACAAACCATAAGGGACTCTTAAGGATAGAGAACAAACTGAGGGTTGATGGAGGGAGGTGGGACGGGGGATGGGCTAGATGGGGGATGGGTCTGAGGGGGGCACTTGTGACGAGCACTGGGTGTTGTACGTAAGTGATGAATCACTGAATTCTACGCCAGAAACCAATATGGCAGTGTATGTCAAGGAAGTGAAATTTAAACTTAAAAAAGAAAGAAAACTACTAGAGTACCCTGTCTCCATCAAAAATAAATCTAGCTTCTTCAGCGTCCCACTGCTCAATTAAAGAAGGCAAATTAGGTGGGATGGCTCGCCTGAAAAGTAGAAATCACAGTGAGGTCTACAAATTGAAGGGGACAGAGTTCTAGTGAAAAGGGCCCAGGAAAGCTGCAACTTGCCTCTGTGAGCTGCTGTTTCAGTTGTTCCTCAGTGAGACCCAGGGATCTCATCCCCCGGGCCCTGCAGGCAGCTTGCAGTTCTGACACACTCAAAGCACTCACCCCTTCTCTGGCAATTACCTGAAAGCAACGTAAGGAATGGCATTGGATCTCTTGGTTCCAATTTTACTGACTCCTACATTCCAACCAGGGGCAACACCAAATCTGATGCTTTCACATCGGACTGTCCTCTCGCTGACTAAAGGGGCAGCAGCTGAAAATGAGGGGAATCCTGCCAACTGGTATTAATAATATCAGAAGTAGTCCCGTAACTCCTCCCCAACACTTTGTCACCAGAGTAATCCTCTCCCCTCTTGATGTGCATTTCCCCTTCATGGCAGCTTCAGGATTCATTAGAAAATATTCCACTTGAGAAGCTTGCGGTGTACCATTAGCTGGATGTCCCAGGATTGCTCTTCCCCTACCAACCCCCTACCTCCATCTGGGAATGGCCCTAACTCTGGTCCACCAAATTCGCTCGATACATAACATGGTTTCTGCTTGGTGTGACCCAAAACTAGGGTACTTCTGGGACCAGTATTGTTTATTCCAAAATTCTGAAAGCAACAGCTGAAATCTAAATGAGGCCACAGGGATCATGCTTTCTCAGTTCCGGGAATCCTGCTCCCTCAGGCAGAATGCTCTAAAGCAGCTGATTCTGATTCAAGAAACATTCTTTCCATTTTTTAAGGAGTCTAATTAGTAGTTATGATGCCTTTCCTCCATCAGATGTCTAGGCTCGGCTCTCCCTCCCTGCATTACGCCTTGCCACCGCTCCTTATCAGGCCAACTCACCCAGCAGAATATTTACTTTGGCACCAGCTCTGAGGAAGGGGAGCTGAAGTGTGAGAGTAGAGCACTATCCTTAGCAATGGAAGACTTAGGAACCTCCTGGGGGCTGTTCCTTCCTAGTGGGTCCTAACTGATGTAGATTACTAAATCACTAACTGCTTATGAGGGCATTCTCCAGAAAATGCGTCAGAGTACGACAAACAACTCCTAAAATGAGTAATCTGGGTTCAGATTGTCATGGTAATGATTGTTTAAACCACTCAATGGTTTGCTAGAACCCATCCATGAGCAGATCTAGAAGATACTGCACTTTATCACAAAGCCACCCTAAGGGATCTCCCAAGCCTTGCTAATTCCCCATGGCTACAGTTCAGCTCTTACTTCATCATCTCCTTTTATAGACTTTAGTTTCATCAGAAGTTGAAAGCGGAGCAAATTGTTGGTTCCAAAGGACTGCAACTCTAGAAGCTTGCAGAGGGCAACCAGCTGAGGTCGATCTAGGTGCTCCAGGGTTAGCTGATCTTCAAATAGTTTGGAAAAGCGAACTATCTCCTTTGTGCTGGGCTTGTGGCCTGTCTGGACCTAGGCAGTGGGACAAAGATGCTAATTAAAATGTATTTCATAGGGCTCCGGGGGTGGCTCAGTCGGTGGAGCATTTGGCTCAGGTCATGATCTCATGGGTGTGGGATGGAGCCCCACTTTGGGCTCTGAGCTCAGACGGGAGTCTGCTTGAGATTCTCTCTCCCTCTTCCTCTGCCCCTCCCCCCCACTCACTTACACTCTCTCCCTCTCTAAAATAAATAGATCTTTTTAAAAAATTATAAAATGTATTTCTTAGTTCAACTTTCCCTGTAGACTATTTGAAAGACATACCAAAGCATATTCATAGACTCTATCTTATGTCTGGAAATGGGCCCTGTGGTACCAAGAGGCATCAAGAAGTCTGTCCAAGTCAGCCTGAGTCAACTGAAAAATCAGGAGTAGTTCAAAAGTTTGGCTCTAAATCTACAGTTCTTTCCAAAAAGTTATCAACATCTTCAGTACACGACTGCTTTAAGGTAGGTTTTTCCACACACTACTATAAATGTTTGCAGTATTGTATGTGTATAACTCAGATATTTGCAAAGGCAGAGACTGTGAACAGTTTGGAAGATCCATGATGACCTGAATTTTTCATATAACCACCAGCCTAGAAGTTGTTTGGTGTTACACGAGACTGACACCTGTTTGACATAGGATGAGAACTGTACGGAGGCATCTCCCAGCTTGGCCCTGTTCCTCCTTGCCATTTCTGTAATCGTTTCTTGAAGAAATTTTGCTAGTTCCAACTTTGCAGCCATTTTCTTTTTCTGTTTTTCCTCCTTAATAACAGAAGAGGAGAAAGTTAATCAATCCTTCATGATTACAGCTTCATAGATAAAGATGAGAGGAAAAGAATTGTCACTTTGTTATTGTTCATCCCTATTTTGCATGTTAATATTATTTTCAGACCTAGTTAAATGGGTTTTGTGAAAACCAGAACAAATAAAAAGTAGCCTCTATTTGCAACTTGACTCCTTAATTTTACCTTTTATTTCTTACTAATACAATGACCATAATTATTTGATAGATCTAAAATATCTCGTCAGTGGAAGGCTTTGTCATTATTTAGAATGAGATACTATCTCTTAGCCTGGTATAAACCATCTAGGCTGCTAGTTGAGCCAGCCCCTGGTCCCAGAGTGGTCCCAGATTTTGCGTGGGCCACAAACAAAGAAAACTAGGACATTAACTCTATGCTAGAGTAGCATATAGCTTCAGTACAAAACAGATACAATTAATTATAATATACCGACTTAAGTGTTATAACAGATATGAACAAAGAACTACACAAAAGAGAATTAAATGTACATTCTTTTTTTTTTTTTCCTTTTAAGCAATCTCTACTCCCAAGGTGGGGCTTGAACTCACAGTCCTGAGATCAGGAGTTGCATGCTCTACCGACTGAGCCAGCCAGGTGCTGGCTAAATGTATACTCTTAAGACACGATGTTAACGAGTACTTCTAAATCCTCATTCATTATCAGAAATGCAGTGTGGTAGCATTTTCAAAATAACCAGTCAGGGACGCCTGGGTGGCACAGTCAGTTAAGCATCCAACTCTTGGTTTCGGCTCAGGTCGTGATCTCATGGTCATGAGATTGAGCCCTGCATCAGGCTCCATGCTCTGTGCAGAGTCTGCCTGGGATTCTCTCTCCCTCTCCCTCTGCCCCTCTGGCTCATGCGCTTGCTCGCTCTCGCTCTCTCTCTCTAAAATAGATAAATCTTTAAAAAAAATAATAACCATGGTCAGGACTCAGGGGGATGGAGAGGAATAGGATTCTCTCTATATTTTTTTAAGTTGCCCAAGAGATTCTAATGATTAGTCAATCATAGCAATCATGAATTTTTAGAAAAATCTTAAAAGACTCAACCAAAAAAAATCACACAATGGCAATGGCAATACCATCGTTAGAACCCACTTAGTCATCCATTTCCTACATCCATATCCATCCATCTATTCATTTATTTATTGAGGATCTACCTTGTACTAGGTGCTGGGGATAAAATGAGCAAAAACAGATAAGAATTCCTGCCCTCATGGGACTTCTGGTCTAATGGGAAAGACAAACATTAGTGACTAATGATAATCCAGTAATTCCACAAATTAAAGTATAACAGATAAGTACTACAAAAGAGAAATGCATGGGTGCTCTGATCTGATGTAAATACAAAGTCCTACTTCCTCCCACTCTGCCTCCCACAACCTCCTCCCCTCCACCACACCTCTCTCTCTCTCATTTTCTCATTTGTTTTAGTCCATGGAAAAGAAAGAGAGAGAACGTATTTTCTGAAACTGTGGCCATGGTGTGTGTGTATTATATCTGGGGAATGAGCAGCATTGAGGAAAGAGGAATCTTTAGATAAATCACTTCCTTTATTCCCCCCATCTTCCTGCATTCACGAACACATTCCTTGGAATCCCATGGTATTAATTCTAGGTCCTGATTACCTTAAATGTAAGTAAACTAAACCACTGCCAGTCAGATAATGCAATTTGATTCTACCCTTTACATGTGTCTCTAATGTATCTTCAAATTTTTATTCCTAATGCTGCTTTCATAATTTAATCCTTTCTCTCCTGTGCTGCTGTAAGAGCATGCCAGCCAATTTCCCTCCTTTGGCTCTGCCCTCGTCAATCCTTTTAGCCAGCAATATCATTTTTTTCTAAAATCCAGATCTAACCGTGTTACCCACCCTCTGCTTAAATTTACATTCCATTATTCACCATGGTCAAAGGCAAAGTCTAAACTCCTTAGAGTGGTAGACACTTTCCAACCCGACCCCAACACATCACTTTTGTCTCATCTTCCACCATTGATCCCCTTGTATTCCCTGCTCCAACCACAAAGAAGCGCTCAGTGTCTCAGATTATGGGATAGTCTTTCGCACAAGTAAAGCCATTTTAAGTGCTACTCTTTCTATCCAGAAAGCCTTTCAAATGCTGTGGCAAAATTCTACCACTCTTCTAGTCTTGGTTGCATAGTTACCTCTTCTAGGAAACATTTCCCAATCCGATTTAAGAGTTGTCCTGTTTGTCCTCCCATCACGTGTTCATGCCTTCAGACCTCTGTCCAGTGGAGTGGCACAGGATGGAAAGAACAAAGGGACCACCTTAGTTTTCCCAGCCCGTCACCCTCACAGTGACCATCCAGTGAGGACCCCTCTTCTCCAGGACTACTCTCAAGCATGAAAGGGTCTGTCTGGCTAAATCATGCCTACTGTTCAACTAGTCACTGCAATAACAGTTGATTTTGTTTTATTTTTTTAATGGTTAAAAACAAGTTAAAATTCAATGGCAATGGGGATTGTTTTTTCAACAAATGATGCTAGGGAAACTTGGGTATCCACATGCAAAAAAGAAAAAAATGAATATTAACCCTGATGTTCCACCTCTCACCAAAATTCACTCAAAATGGATCAGAGACTTAAATTTACAACTCAGAACTATAAAACTTCTAGAAGAAAATGTAGGAGGGGTGCCTGGCTAGCTCAGTCAGTAGAGCATGGGACTCTTGATCTCAGGGTCGTGAGTTCAAACCACACGTTGGGTGTGGAGCCTACTTAAAATTAAAAAAAAAAGAAAATGTAGGAGAAAACCTAGGTGACTTTGAATTTGGCAGTGAGTTGTTAGATACAACACCAAAAGTACAATCCAAAAATAAAAACAACTGAAAACTTGTATTTGATTAAAATAAAAAACATTAGCTCTGTGAAAGACAGTTAAGAGAATGGATAAGCCACAGGCTGGGAGAAAATATCTGCAAGACACATATCTGCTAAAGGACTTGTATCCAAATATACTAAGAACTTCTAACAATTAGAAAATGAACAACTCCATTAAAAAGTGGGCAAAAAAACAGATACATCCCCAAAGAAGATATACAGGTGGCAAATAAACATATGAAAAGATGCTCAATATCATACAACATCAGAGAATTGCAAACTAAAATAACAATGAGATATCACTTCACACCTATAAGAATGGCTGATATTCAAAGCACTGACAACACTGAATGCTGATGAAGATACAGAACTATAGGAACTCTCGTTGCTGGTGGGAATGAAAAATGGTACAGAGACTTAGGAAGACAGTTATTTTTTTACCAAACTAAACATAGTCTTACCATACGATCCAGTAATTGCTTTCCTATGTATTTAGGAATCCAAATGAGTTGAAAGCTTATGATCATAAAAAAAAAAACCTGCACACAGATCTTTATAGCAGCTTTATTCATAATTGCCAAAAACTGGAGTCAACCACAATACCCTTCAACAGGTGAATAAACAACCTGTGGCACATCCATACAATGAAATATTATGCAGTGATAGAAAGAAATGATCCATGAAAGGACTACACACTATGATTCCAACTATATGACATTCTGGAAAAGGCAGGTCTATGGAGACAGTGGTTGCCATTGTTTGGGGGAGGTAGGAGGAACAACAGATGATGCACAGGGCATTTTTAGGGCAGTGAAACTATTCTGTATGATGGTGTGATGGTAGATACCATGACCTTATGCATTTTTCAAAACCCATAGAACAGTACAACACAAAGAATGGAGTCTAATGTAAAGTATGAGATTTAATTAATAATATCTCGATATTGGTTCTTCAATTGCAGCAAATAGATCCCACAAATGCAAGACATTAATAATAGGGAAAATGGGGGGAGTATCTGGGGACCCTCTATACTTTCTGCTCAATTTTTCTATAAACTTAAAAACTAACGAATAGAGTCCATTAATTTTTTTTTAAGTTAAAAAATCCTACATACCTTTTTGGATTCACTTTCAAAAGTTGATGGCAACATCTCTGGGAAGAATTTCAGAAATACTGGTAATAAGAATTCCATGAAGGGTACAATTATGAACACCATAAATGGAACCAGGCGGAAGAAATCAGCACAAGTCCTCAAGAGCTAAAGAATTAAATGCATATGCAGTATTCATTATTTTAGGACATGCCCCAGACAAAAATATGAAACCAAAAAAGCCTGCCTTGGTCCTTAAAGTGTTAAAAACCCTAGACAGATTTTCTGCAGCTTTGTATAAAATGGAAAGGTAGGGTTTTCCTCTTTACCATCGCTCTGAAGTAACATCTATGGGATACCTTCAAGGAAATCTATGACAATCAAAACATATTGCTGACATCATCTATTGTTAGCTTTCATCTATGTCAGGGGTCTGTACTTTAATAGCATAGTGTCTGTTAAAGACTGATTTTTCAAATGCATATACTTAATATATTAACAGTAGTTTCTATTGCGGGTCCACAGATCAAACTTGAAGCTTCTCAATTCCTTGGGGAGATTAGAGAACACAATTATAATCATTTTATAGGCAAATATGCACAAATCTCAAGAATCTTGCCTAAAGTTGTACAGTAAGTCTGTTTCAGACAAATAAGAAACTCTGGTTCTCACCATCAGTTACTACTCCTACTTTGGGATTTTTAGGATGAATTTTCAGGTGAGTTTAAAACTTGGTTGCCAAATAGTTCATTTTCACTTTACATTTTCTTTCTCAAATATGATCCTTGCCTACCCTTCGTCTCTCTCGTCTGGTCAGCACCTGCCCATGCAACAGCCTCCAAACCATTCTGGCAGCAACTTTGGTGTCAATCCATAGCAAGTAGAATCCATTGTAATAATATTTAAGTTCATCCATAATTCTTTGTCTATAAGATTGCTTTTCTTCCTTAATCTTCATGCCATGTCCTTTTGTGGGCTGAGGGCTTGTCACCTGGGGCTTTTTCGGGGTTTGCTCCAGCTGAGGTTTACCAGGGACCTCTTGTAACCAGCAAGTTGATGTGTGTAACTTTTGTATTATTCTAGTTCGTAAGTGAAGTATTTTATTGCCTGACTGATTAGGATAGGAGTACTTCTTGCTTACACAGTTCTTCATGTATGTTTTATTTAAATGGGAATCTGGCAAGTGAAGAAATGCAAATGATGGGGAATAAGAAGAGCTGGTAGGATGGACAAAATAGCTAGGGAATCTGGAATAAAGAGCAACATCCTCTTAGTTGAGCACATACTATTACAAATTTAAAAACAAAAGAAATAAATATTTTAATATTTATAACATTTTAAAAGCAGATGATATTCATAAACAAATGAAATATAACTTTTTACCCCAGTTGAAGAACAGTGTGCTTTATGGTTGAATGATAGACTCTATGAGAAATATTAATAAGTTAATTCCTAAAAATAACTGCTATGTTACAAGTTAGAAACTCTACAACTATGCCTGCGCAGGGGTCATGCTAATCTTCTCTGTATTGTTCCAACTTTAGTATATGCTCTGCTGACATGAGCACGAACGTCTGTAACTATTAATTTAAAAATCTAACAGCAAACATTTTTTCACCAGCGGTTGTGTTTGAAAGTGTTGTCTTTATTAGCATAAAACAGGTGGAACGCTTGCGTCTTTGGTTACCCTGGTGACAGTAGGAATATTGCTTGAACAAAACACTTCATGGCCTCTGTGGGAATTAACCAAACACATAATACTGATTTGTCTGTGTGGTGCCCATGGATTCCCTCAAATGAGAGGCATTTACGGCCCAAATGCCCTTCACCTACAATTCTTCAAGAATGTTAGGAATAAGAATTAGAATTGGGCACCCCAGCCAGGGATCTCTACCTTCTAGTTTTGCAACAGCTCAAAATCTTCAGTTAAACTAGCACATGAGAGTGTTTGAAAATAAAAATAAGACCCATCTAGGCAAAGAAAGTTCCTGACAAAGACATTTCTTCTGGCAAAGAGAGGGCTTTTCCATTCTTTCAGACTGTTTTTGAAGCACACCAAGATAAAGCACTTTTTGAAGGGCCAAAAGGGAAAATGTACAATGTATCTGGCCCATAGTAAGTGCTCAGTGAATATTCTTTGGAATAAGTAAGTGATAACAGACCCTATGAGGGCAGGTATATGTCCTAGGACTGGCTTGTTTGCCAGCCATTTTACTCATTTTTCTATCTAAGGGCCCCATGTAACATTCATTAGTTACAGAGGTGTCACCTTGAAACCATTACATCTTCTCTCTTCCCTGTGCCATACATCTAAAAATTACTCAGCCTGAGTTCTAAGGCATATAGAAAATCTGGGGTAAGTTTAAATACAATAAAATGTCAGCTTCCTAAAAACCAGTATAGTTAAAGCCAACAAAGCTTTCATTTGTTGTGGAACAAGCCTATCCTTTTACATATATCTTTTTCTAGAAGAAAGTTCATATAATGTTGCAGGGGAAGAGGGGATTCCACACCTTACCTTGTTCGGGCAATAGCTAAGACTGTTTTATAACTGTAGAAGGCCATACTTATATTTGTCTCAACTAGTCAGCATAGGAACCTAGACAGAAGGATTAAGTAAACAATTTAGTATTTTAAAAACACACCAATTATAAAGATACCAGGATTTCAGTGTTTACTATTGCAAAGGTAGAAAACTTCCATATTCCATTCAAGGTGTAAAACCTTTCTCAAGATCATTTCCAACGATATGAATGTTTTCTCAGCTTGGATTTGAGAATGGTACTTTGAGATCCCAACAAGTAGAAATGATCTCTAACATCATGGTGCTCATGATGGTTATATGGTCTTCAAAGACTTTTTTATTTCTGGTCAGTAACACCTAGTAACCTACTTGAATGGTTGCCAGGTATTTAAGAAGCTAAGCAATACAAACTTTTTTGTAGCCTAAAAATACAGGTAGAATAAAATACCCTGGATTTGTTTCAGTTAGCTTTTTCCCATACTTGGCCAAGTTGCCCCAAACTTTGAAGACTGAAAGTAGGGGCACCTAGCTGGCTCAGTCACTAGAGCATTGGATTCTTTGATCTCAGGGTCATGAGTTCAAGCCCCACGTTGGGCACAGAGCCTACTTAAAAAAAAAAAAGTACTAACTAACCACATTTATGTAGCAGTTAAGATACACATGGTACTTACTAATAATTCAAGTGGAGGTAAATCGGTTTCCTGTACTGGTGATTCTCCAAAGAGATCAAACTGAGCTACCTTTAAACAAGCTTTATCAAAACCTTTCTCCATCCTGTGGTCCTTTCCAGCCAAGGGCAGCAAGGTGTTTTGGTAGTATCTCTTAGCGTCTCCTGTGGCCCTTTTCAGCCAAGGGCAGCAAGGTGTTTTGGTAATATCTCTTAGCGTCAACTCTGCTTTCCTGCAGCTGGAAAAGGCGTAGACCAGGGTGCTCTCCTGGACGGAAACCTCAACCACAGAGCTGACATTTTGAACAGGAGTTCAAAGAACACTTCGGAACATCTAAACCCAGGCTAAGGGCGGGTGGTCTCCTGCCGGAGGCATGCCACACCCGATCGGGCGGTTAACCTGCTCTCTGGCCCCTGGGCACTCCCCCCCGAAGCTGCGGGGAACCACTTCCTAGGCGGGGACTGCCGGGAGCCCCGCCTGCGCCTTCGCACCGCCCACGCCCACACGCGGGGGCCCCAGGCTCCCAGGGTTACCTTTGCTTTTCGCCCTTGACGACACAGGGGCAAAACGCGCGGTCGGCTTCCGCAGCCGGCGGCTTTTGTGCGCGCAGTGTGTTGGTGGACTGTGTTCGCAGTACCTGGGTCTGGGGGTTGGGGGGGGCGGTTCTTTGTGTTTGGGTGCGGGGATGGTGCAGGCACGCGGACGACAACCTTGTTGGCGATCCAGGTTTATGGAAGGAAGACAAGGAGAAGCCGGGCGCAGGGTACGGGAAAAGAAAGGAGGAAGCGAAGCACGGAAGGAGGGGAAATGGAGGTTGAACTCCAAAGTTGGGGGGCGGGCAGGGGCACGAGGTCAAGGGCTGAAGCGAGTGCGGTGGGGAACTAGAAGCTGTCGGGAAACCTGGGCGCTGATGGGAAGAGCAGGATGCGGAGAGAGCGGGCTCCGGAGGAAAAAAAGGCAGGCGAGATCCACCAAATAAATAACAGCCTAAGGACTTGGCCCGCCCGCCCGCCCACCCCCACCTCCTCGGGCGGGCTCCCCGGAACGGCTGCCTCAGCCCTCCAGTTCCTTCCCAAACCCCCCCTCCCCCAGCTCCCCAGCTAGAAGGGCCCCAGGCCAAGTCTCTATGGCTCCACCTCTTTCCTAACCAGTTACGTCACTCTGAGTGACGACACCACCCACCAATGAGCTCTCAGATTATGGGGAGGGAGGACGTCCTTCGCTGTGGCAGCCCTGGAGGCAGCCAAGGTCCGGTTCCCACCGGCGAAATGACCTCTCTATTGGGTTTAGTTTAAGCCGAGTCTGTGCTGCGGGAGGGGGCAAGAGTGACGTCTTTCCGCCTGTCTACACTCTCTGGGCTGTGGGCTAATCTCCCGAAAATCCTCATTGAAAGCTAGATTAAAGAACCTCTTACCCTACCGATAGCGTAATATGCCTGAGAGTCGCCATAGTAACCATCTTAAAGTCACGAATTACATCACTTTGATGCACCCCCCCCCATCAACAACTGCCGGGGTTGGGATGGCGCGGAGAGCTCTGCGGAGAGGGAGTGGCAGAAAGGGCGGGAATGGTTAGGAAAACATCCCTTTCCTTTCTCCGGGGCCTAAGAGTGGAATGCTGTGAAATCTTCATATGGAAATCTGCATTCCACTAAAGTAATTTGCTTTATAAATGCTCTCTTAACAGGTATTGTTTATGATCAGTAGTTTGTGGAGAAATATCAACACTTAAGATGTATATTATAGTAACTGCAGTGACGTAGGTAGGCACTGCAGGTTTGGGGCACTTCAGTTCCTAGGTTGGGTAACTGAGCCATCTTGGAAAAGTGAAAGATATAGAAATGTTCTCGCTCTCCTGTTATCTCTACCCATCCATTTCATCTGGCTCTAGAAGGAAAACAAAATTTTAGTGGCTCTACTTGGACTAACACCAGACAACAAGGAACCGCTTTCACAGGGAGAGTACTTCTCTTAACATGTGAGTTGACCAGAGACCTCACTCATCTAGGCTGCACATTTTAAGAATGAAAAATGGCGGGTATTTAATTTCAGGTTTGTTTTGTTGTTTTTAATGTAGACTGCTTTTAATCCACAAAGCATTTTTCAGTTAATAGCCAAATGGATCAACCATGTTAAATAGGCAGAACTTTTCAGTTTGGCCACTAGAGGGCCCTTTGTGCATGCCCTATGCCCGAGTTTCTACATAAAGGTTTCACTTCATGTTTTATGTTTACTAGAATTAACAAAATCTGCAAAGCTTTTGGTCTCTTTCCCTTTCCTCTCCTGAAAATTCCCGAGGGCAAACTTTGAGCTCTAAAAGTCCAGATAGTTACAATTTTCACATTAATTCTATAAATTAATCACTGTACTAACATGAACATGTGCTTTTCTGGAAAAGGTCATAAAGATGCAAAAATATTCCTTTCAGTTCCCTGGGAGACATTTTATACCAGGAAATATTCTTATTCATGCATTGTATTCACTCACAAACAGGCACAGTAAAATCATTAAGTATTCATAAACCAGATGAATGATTCCAAGCTCAGTATTGGAAAGATGAGCTAGATTTTCTACTACAGTCATATGTCAGCAATCCTATTCTAAAAAGGGAAGGGTTAAGAACCTTCCTATTGAAATCCCTTTGTTCAAAGCAATGTTTGCCTTCTGCTATCAGGCCTGGCAATTTTTTGACTTTCAGGATTTAAGTGATTTATCATGTAAGTTTTTGGATATAATCTTTGGAAGAGAAAAAATTCCTTTCTCCTTAACTCTGGCCCTGGGAATTGTGTTAGACTGCTGTCTTCATGAACTGTTTGCTCATTTTGTATGGAGAAGAGAAAGCATTATCTGAACGTCAGAAGATGTTAGATGCTAAAAATGTAAATTATTAATTTTAATGGCCATCTCCCTAAATATGGCTCAAGAGCAAATATTATTAACAGTATATTTTCTAAAGTTTTGCAGGAAGAGATTATATATCTACTTCACAGAACTTTAATTTTAAACTCTTGTCAGCCTAGAAACAGATTAAAATAAAATCCCTGAGGTCAATTTACCAGATTCTCCTCAAGGGGAAAATCCAGATGTCTGGTCAAGGCAACGATTTATCAAAAAACAAAGTATACAGGAAGATGGAGAGGAAGGATGATGGTAGAAGGGTAGCTTTTTTTCCCCCCTATGATAGGGGGAAAAAAGACCAATTTAACCTCTTTCCAGGAGACACAATCAAACTGAAATAAGCTCAAGAGGCCCCCTTTAAGAGGTCTGTGTTCTAAGAAGACATTTAAAACAAACAAAAATGTGCTTTTTACTGATTCCTTTAAGTTTTGGTACTGCACAAAACAGGCACTACATAAGCATATGTTTAGAAACAGTTAATGAATAGGGCGCCTGGGTGGCTCAGTTGTTTAAGCATCTGCCTTCCGCTCAGGTCATCATCCCATGATCCCAGGATCCCATGATCCTAAGGTCATGATCCCAGGATCAGCAGGGGGCCTGCTTCTCCCTCTCTCTCTGCCTCTCCCTCTGCTTGTGGTGCTCGCTTTCTCTCTGTGTCAAATAAATAAATAAATCTTTTTTTTTTTTTTAAAGTTTCCAACTATTCATGATCCCAGGATCCCATGATCCTAAGGTCATG